AAAAGCCCTGGCTGCCTCGTTTGATCGAGAGAGGGAAAAAAAGCCCTTTTAAGAGAAGAGCAGGCAGTGGCTTCAACAAAAATAGCGAACCCCTTCCCCCTAAAAAAAACGGGGAAAAATTCTGTTGAGGGGGGACCAAAAAATTGTTGAGAAAAAAAAAGGATCCCAAGAGTTATTAAGCAAAAAAATAAATACATAAAATAAAACAGCATTAAAACAGTATGGCCCCTTTAAATGTGTGCAGAGTCAGAATAGGCCAGGGATAGAAAGAGGGAAGGTTGAGCACTAAGACGGAGGGAAGGCATTGCTTCCCCTTGCTCTGGTCTTGAGGTTTTTTGCTGGCAGCCATCTTGGGTTTTTTGGTCGAGCAAGAAGGGAGCTTCCCTGCAAAACCAGGTAAGCAAGGGAGCTGGGGCCCCAGGAAGAGGGGGTGGGGGCAGGGCCCAGTTGCCTTGTGTGTAGGGTTGCCAGGTGTCCGGTATTTTCGTCTCCTGGCTGGGAAAAAAACAGAAAATACCGGACATTTCAGGTGTCTGGTATTTTCTGAATTTTTTTACTGGACAAGAGGTGAAAATACCAGACTGTCCGGGTCAATACTGGACACCTGGCAACCCTAAGTGCCATTTTGAAGGCAGCCATTTTGAAGTCTGCACGCGGCACTGCAACTCCAGCTCTGTCTCTTTCAGACAGAAAAATGCTGCCCCTTTCACAGCTGGGAGCCGCAATTTTTTCTTTGAAGAGTTGCATGTGGCTCCCGAGCTGCGGATTGGCCACCTCTGATGTATGCCCTTCATCTCAGCCGAATGCTGAAAAGAAGCTACTCAGTTTTACTTCTGTTTACAGTTTCATGAGACTTCCTAACTCTTGTGAACTTCTCCAATGCTGTTGTGTTTGTGCTTTATTTAAATAAAAGCAAAAGAAAAAAACAATTTTGATTTTTTTAAATGTCAAGGAATCATTCTGTTGTTCTCAGCTTTTAATAAAACCTGTTTTGGTCAAAAAGTTGGGCTTCAATGAACATGGCAGCATATCCTTAATTTTTTGTCTCATTTGAAAGTTTCCAATTTTACTATGGCAGAAAGACGATTAAAGCAAAAGCAATGGGTATGCAAATGTGTATGTATGTAATAAAAAGGATAACAGAATACAGATTGTTACAGCTGGCAAGAAAATACTTTTTTAAAAAATGAAAAATGTCCTTTTTGATGAAAGATATTTTAGTGACATTTTAGTGATATTTAGTAATTCTGTCAAAAATTGTCAGTTTTTTTAAATAACTAGGTTTTTTGCCACCCGTGTCTTTGATAACAACACAACACTTTCTATGACAAAGTCAGACAAGGATTGAAAATGTTGTTTAAGGCAAAACACTCTTCCCTCCTTCCAGTTTTACAGATTACGTAGCAATGCCAACTCAGCTAGCAGGTTGGACGGTTAATGCTTGAGTTGTTCCGCACTAATGGTCTGATCTGAGTGAGAGCTGATCGCCTAACTTTGAATACATAGATTTTTCCATTAATTTATTATGCAGAGAAATATTGGGCCAGGAATCGCCCCCACGTGTTACTCCAGATTTACATCCATGCAACTCAACTGAAATTAAGACCTGTGCAACACTTGCATTTCACCTGAGCCTTATAAAGGCCAGATTCAGCTAAGTGACCTGCCTATGAATTCCATGCTTTATGAGAGACTCACTTTTCAATTAATCAAAAGGCAAGGGAAGTCAGTGGCAGAATTTCCATTGACATAAATGGGCAGTTGGTTTGGTTATAGGATTAAGAAGGTCTTAAGTATTGTACAAGCATCGTGCTTGCCCTCTGTCCAAGTTCCAGCTCCATCAGTCATTAAACTCACATCCCCAAGACTAGTGATGTTAAATATCAGTTAATTGAATACTTGATTAACCTCATGAATTCTTATCGGTTACTTGACTATTCTATAGTCCCCAGGGATGCCCACTCTCGGGGAACCCACTGCTACCCCGCGCTGCTGCATTTCTCTCAGAGGCAGTAGTGCAGGGTGCCATTGGGGAGCTGGTCCACGAGGGGAGTCAGTTTAAAAACCAGAGGCAGCAGTGCGGGGTGGCAGCAGCCTCTGTCCAAGGCGGTGTCTGAGCTCCCAGACCCCAGTGCAAGCCAGAACTGAGTGGGACTACTTGCCCACCTGGCTCCTATTACACTTTATATGCTGAGCTACAGCAGGGTAGGTCCCAGATCCGGTGCAAACCAGGACAGAGCCAGGCTGCTGGCCAGCCTGCTAAAAAATGTACTGGCAAGGGGGAGGGGGGAGGGGGAGAATGTGAGTAGACTATAGAATTTACCTATAAGCTTTTGCTTATTGTTTAATCGACTATACTATTACATTCCTTTCCAAGACTCATGTCCTAGCTACTCCCATCAAAGGTTCCTAACCTTTTCCTATCTGTTGCATTTGCCATCCCTAAAGTGTTCCATCTGCAAGCGATGCTGGTCAAGCAAACAGAAAGTAGTCTACAAAGGACACAGCATTTTGATATTTCCATGCATGGTCTACCAACAGTTGTAAATACTTAAAAAAAAGTAACTGTGTTTTTAACAGAAAACTGTCTTTCTTCTTCTTCTCTGAACTGTGGGGAGTTTAAAAGCTGGGCAGGAGACTGAGCTATGATAACAATGTACAGGAAAGGACTGGGAGAAATCTCTGCAAGATGTTTTCTGTGATACCACCTCCCAAATGCTTTCATATGTGGGCTTTGACTTCTGAAAGTCTGTCACGACTAAAACAAAATTGCTCTCCAACGAGCCCATCTCGGTCCAAGAGACTATGCTATTTCCTACGCAGCACAGAGGAAGTCCAACCCTGATCTTGACAAGATAGGAAGATGGGAAATCAACTTGTTCTAAATCAAGATGGGGCAAAGTTGCGAAGGGAACTTCACAGGCCAGCCCCTGGGGATATGAACAGAGAAAAGCAACACACTTTGTTTGGGGCAGTGGATTAAATTCTGAAAGACCAAATACAGTTGGTGGCTGATGACTTACACACATCAATAAAGCCTAATCTTTGTGTTACAGAAAGCAACTGAGATGATTCCCAGATAGAGCTCCAGATGATCTTTAATTGCAAACACAGCAAAACAAATCTCACCTCTTTCTATTCTCCTTCAAACAGAAAGGTTGATGTCTGTCCACACTTTCCTTTGACACATTCTAGCTACTGACAAAACAGCAGCTTGGAAGAAAAACACCAACACATTCTTCAGCGTATAATCCCCCTCGCTGGCTCTCTCTAATTAGAACACTGATTCCGGGATGTTTGAACGACCCACTCACTGCTTTGCATTCATCCATTTCCCACGCCACAGCAGAGAAGGGTTCTGACTATGTGCTGCAAAGGAGGGTGCAGGCTGACAGCCAAAAATGATAGACCTCTCTAGTGAATGCTGGATGTTTGTTACCAAATTAAACTAGGTCTCTGGGCAAAGTAAAAATGCTTCATGTCAGCAAGGACAGACATTTGGAGCCAAGGATGCAAACGGTTACTCTTTTAGGAGAGGTAATAGGCAGATCGCTCTTTAGTCAAGCGCTCATGCTTAGGAGTTAGCAAATGATGGCCTGCAAGCAATCACAGCAATGCAGCCATGCCAATCTGCAAGGGCAGGCACGGAGAGGACTATTTTGTTCCAATTGGGTTCATGGCTTCTTGAAGCCAACGTAAGCCCAACCAGTACAAACAGCAGCTTTCCTTCTCTACACCTGGGGGTTTTCCACCACTACCGATTATCCTAGCTGCTGGTCATCTTTGATAGAATCAGACTGATGCCATGTATAGAAAAAGCCTGAATGTTTGTAAAAGGCCCTGAGGGATCTCAAAGGACAGCGCTAGATCCCAAACAGGGATTAATAGTTTCCAACCAGGCCTTGTCACAGTGGGGGGGAGGCAGGTTGCTAGACATGTACCACCCTCTACAGAGAACAATACCCAGATGTTCCGGTCTGCCAGGCACTGCACTCAGACACCGGGAGCTGGCCTGTGCCAGTTGATTCAGGCTGCTGGAGCTAAAGGGGCTGTTTATCCTTTGGGCTCTGGGATCCTCCCACCTTGCAGGGTCCTAGAGTTTGGGCTCCCACCTGAGTCTGAACATCTAAATTGCAATTAAACAGCCCCTTAGCCCAAGCCCTGCAAGTCCCTCGTGGAACGAGGTGTACAGCTAGTTCGGATTAGGTTACACGCGGCATGGGGTTCGAACTAGCCGGCATTTAAAAATGGCTCCAGCTGGCTTCATGCAAATGAAGCCCGGGAAATTCAAATCCCGGGCTTCATTTGCAACTGCAGATGACTACATTACCCCCGCTAGTTCGAACTAGCGGGGTAGTGTAGACATACCCCCTGAGAGCGGACAGGGGCCAATGCAGGTGTTTGCCTGCAGTGTAGACATACCACTGGCTCCTGGCAAAGAGTCCCTCCCTTTAACGGTTAGCGGGGGAGAAACCAGAACTCTGGGTGGCACTTATTGTACCAAAGGCCAGGGTTGGTGGTCTCCCTGCACCGAACACTGTTACTCCATCAATGTGCCCCAGAAGAGGGGGTGCTCTGTTTACTATTTGCCACTTAATACTCCATGAACGTATATCAGAGTCCGCCAAACAAAACGACAACTCGTTTTTACGCAGATCCTGTGTTTATCGAGCAGCAACGGTCATTCGCTGCCATCCAAGGACCTTCCCTACTGCATCTGCTAGCTACCGGTATGTAAGAGGATCTCAGGTTAGCATTCTAAAAATGCAGGACGTTTCAAGGAAATACTGCCAGCATGTACGTGTGAATTAGGGGCCAGCTGTCCTCATCGGGGAGCCATGGCACTCCACCAGACACGCAAGGCTTGGACGATATTCAGTGGGAAGTCAGGTCAACGGTCATTTTCCCCGCACTGGTGGGGTGAGCGCAGCACGAGCGCCATGTGACTTCCTGACTGACAAGACACTGCCCTGCTTAGGCACACAGGCATCTCCTCTTACCAGGTTTGGGGATGAGTCCTTGGAAAGGTCTGGAAAACAGAAGGAGAAAAGACCGCTTAGCATGAAAGCAAGGCAGGAAGCAGGCAAAGCTCGCCCGATGACTCTTGCCAACAGCAATTATACTTGTTATTTGGGAGTTAGTGACAAGAGGCCCCAGTGGGGATCACAGCCCCCTGGCAAGAAGGGCTGTACAAACTCATGACAACATGGTCCCTGCTCTGAATCATAGAATCATAGAACTGGAAGAGACCTCAGAAGGTCATCAAGTCCAGCCCCCTGCTCTAGGCAGGACCAATCCCAACTCTGCTTCTGCTGCACCTGAAACACAAGAGTGGTCCAACTGCCCTGGGATTTGGGGGGCTGACCGCTATTCCTGGCTCTGTCCCCGAATGCACGGGGTGACGGCAAACACGGTGCTTCCTGTCTTGGTTTCCACTCCCTCCCTTTGTCTGTCTAGACCAGGGCTATTCAACATGCGACCCGTTTGTTTGTGGCCCGCGGTGCGGTGTGGGTTTACGTGGGGCTCAACACACGGCCCGCGGGTGGGAGCCAAACCAAAGAAATAGTCAATAGAATAGTCTTCTGTTGACAAGCGTTTTAGTAGTTAAATTCCTGGACTGTCTTTGCTCATTCCAAGTGCTGTCATATGGATGGAAATCGGGTAAAGATTGCATTTTATTAATAGCAGCAGCACTGACTTAAATGAGGCCGGCGTATTGTGTAATCTTGCCTTAATCTTTGTATTCATGCCCGTCAGTGTGAAAGAAGCTATTTGCATATATTTGCATATATATTTGCATGTCTATGCAACCACACTTCAGTTGTGGCCCTCAGCACGTGCTGTGAGTATCATTGTGGCCCCCGGGGCTCCCAAAGTTGAGTAGCCCTGCTCTAGACAGTGAATGCTTCCAGGCAGGCAAGGTCTCTTGCTAGGCCTATGTGTGGCCCTAGCACAACAGGAGCGTGGGATCTCAGCTGGGTTTCTAGGCACAGCCCTTGTACTGCACCATTAGCTCCACTTTCCAGGTGGGGACACAGACCGTGGGAGATGGAAGAACTTGTCCAAACTGGGAATGGAGCCCTGGTGTCCCTAGTCATGGAACTACGCTGCCTCCACTCACAGGGCTTAGCAGGGGCCGAGTCTCAGCCCACTCCGGTTAGTAGCCAGCTTTCCTTGCCCATCCCATTGCCTTGGGATCCGGCCCTTGTTGCACCATGCCTGATGGTTCCAACTCAGCAGAGAGGGTGGAACAAACAAATTCACTTGCACCATCAGCCCCTTCCCGCCGCTGCTGCTCACCCGGCCCTGGCTGGCTGGCTGATTTCC